ATTATCGCCCGACTACGCCGCACTACATTTAATTGGGTTATTCGTCGTCGTCGTCGTCGTCGTCGTCGTCGCTGTGGCAGCTGCTCTTTGAGCTGCTTAATTACTGTCAGCCAGTCGTTAGACGAGGCGTATTCTAAGTTTCGGGCATAGTATTATTTGAGTTTTGCATTCGCTTGGTGTCAGATTCGAGGCTTGTGCCCTGTGCCCGGTGCCCCGGTGCCCTTCCCTGCAATTAGGTACGCATGAAGCATCACGGAGCTGCCCCACGCCACACATGGACCGCATAAACCACCCGCTGTGCGACCGCCCGCTGCGATTGCCCCAAAAATGGAGCCCAGGCCGAGTCAGCTCTAGGTCTGCCCGGCTCCGGGCTGGTTGCCAGGACATGGCCGGGGGCCGGAGGATGTCGGTCTGTGGACTTGACCACTTGACCGGCGAGCCATAAAGTTGTAAATGCTTAAAATAGACTCGAACTCGAGTGCGACGACCAAATCGGAAGGGTGTGGGCCATGCCCAGGGCTTATTATAAACACTCTGCGACTGTGTGTGTGTGTGTGTGTGTGTGTGTGTGTGTGTGTGTGTGGCAAGAGGAGTGTAATTTCAGCTTAATATATTGCAAGTCAGCAGGTGATGATTTTTGGCTTGTGCGTGATTATTGTACAGTGTGAGGCATCTGGCTGGCTGGGAGCTTTAAATGGGCCGTGTGATTATATATATTATTTCTTTTCGTACGTATTGTGGGTAGGTAATCGAATTGGATTTAGTTTCTAGATTCGACATAATTGATATATGTGTGCGCATTTGTACGTGTGACATAGTTAAATCTACATTTCAGCAAGCTTAGCTCCCTTTTTTTTAAAGGAATGAGTTACATTCGCAAGGTTTTGTATTCGGTTAAGTTTAATTTATCCAAATAAAAGAATTTATTTATAAATATCTAAGCAAAACTAACGGGTATACCCTGGCCTTGCCCGTGGTACGTATAAAATAAATTCTCTTAAAGAGAGAAGAGATTAGATGCCAAGTTGATCTGGAGGCCAAGCCATGAACAAAGACTTAAACCTCTTCAAATTCGGATGAGATATGACCAAGTTATGGGGTTGGGAAATTTCGACCTACATATGTCTATATGAATATTTGAGGGTACAATTTTCCATGAATTTTGACCAAGAAGATTTCGATGCCCAATTCTAGAGATCTAGAGGCAAAAAAATGAACAAAGAGCCAAACTTCGTGAAAATCGAATGAGATTTGACCGAGTTATGGTGTTGGGAAATTTTGACCCATATCTCTATTAGGTATTTAAGGGCACCAATGTTGCCAGATTACATTATAATATAAATATGACATACAAGTTCGTAGTACAAACCCTTTACTGTGTTCTGAGACTCGAATCTTCGCTGGGCCTGGTTGGAGAATAGGCTAACGCCATAAAAATGACACATAATGAATTTCGGGATTGAGAAAAAGTTGCAAAATAAGTTCTTTAAGAAACGCAAAAAAACATTCTCAACATTAAATGAAACTGAATAGGTAAATCGCTAAAAAGCTTGTTCTTAATTTTCAGTAATCTTAATGGAATATACAAAACGAAGAACCCCAATAATTTATTCGCTAAAACTCGTTTTAAAAATAAAAATAGATGAAATATAAAATCTTAAATTCATGCATTAATAAACCCGCAACCCTCATGCTGGGTGAAAAATGCGGGTCAAACATTTTTTTGGCGAAGCTTAAAGTTTCATCCGATCGGCGTTAGCTTATTTTCTAAGTCCTTTCTAAAACAGAACTTTATGAAGACGTGTTTGGAAATTCCCCAGGGAAAACTGTGTTAAATTTGGCGGAAATTCAAAATTCACCCTTTCTTTGAGCAAACAACGGTCAAAGATTTGTTCCGTGAAATTTAAGGTTGAAAATCAGTTACAAGGATACACGCACGCACCTTGCTTCTGCTTCAACCCTTAGCCCGACACCATGGAAAATGCTTTCGTAATTTTATTCAGTATTTAATGTCGTCTAAATGTGTGTAAATACAAAGATCTAAAAACAATCTGGTGTGAATTTAGTGTGTTGGGTGGAGGGGGGGGGGGGGGGAGAATTGGTGGAGAATTGGTCAAAGAACAGGATATCGATATTAATGTTAATCGATTGCTTGGCAATAGGACAAGCTATTGGTAATTTTCAATAAGCTCGATAGTTGATTAATTTGGTTCAGCTGGTTTAAGCCATCTTGCAACACTGGCTTAAGTTGCTATAATATTAACTCAAATTGATTACTGCGCACTAAATACTGACTGAGATAGTCCAAGTATATAAATAAATATGTAAGGCACTATTCTAATACCGTAAACCTCAAGCTGCAAGCATATTTTCCGAGTGCCTTTCATATTGTAACTGTATTTCTCCACAAATATATTTATGTATTTCAAATGCATAGCTCGCTGTCTAGAAGAGGACACGCCCCCCACCAAAAGCGACAAACGGTAGATGCCTACGTGCCGTACGTCTCAGACACACGTTGAAGGAATATCTCGTCAAGTCTGAGCATGTGTGTGTGTGTGGGTGTGTGTGCACGTGCGTCTCGCCCCCAAAGTGCCCTCATGCTTATTGAGTGCCAATTTTTATATCGTTAATGCGACTATATGAGTAAGCGTGGCTGTCTATGTGAGCGTGGCTCTGTCTGCGTGCGTGCGTGAGTGTGTGTGTGTGTGTGTGTGTGGCTGTCTATGCGTGCGTGGGTGCGTGGGTGTGTGTGTGCTAGATTAAGCTTCTTTCTGCTTTGGTTGTTGTTCTTGTGCTCTTGTCGCTGAACGCAATTTACGATTAACAATCCCCGCAGCTCCCCTCAACCCGCTTTGCCCAGCTCCTCGATAAATTGCTCTGCTTTGCACCTTGAGGTTTGTTTTGTATTTACATTTGCGTTGTGGGTCTCAAATCGTTTTATTTGTTTGCCGCAGTCAATCTCTCAGCCTCCCTACCCCCTACCCCAACTACCTGCACACATATGTTTAATATGCCCCAGCCTTATTATTGTTTTGTGCGGGTGTGTGTGTGTGTGTTTTATTTGTTTGTGTGCCTTTGTTATTGTACGCTCGTTATGGCTGCTCTCATTGTTGTTGTTATTGAGGTTTTTAAGTGTCGTCGGGCCACTTAAATGAATATTAATGGCCGTTTAAATAAGAAATGAATAACTAAACGCATTACAAGTATTTTATTTGACGGAAATACACATAATTTGCACCTTTGCGCGAACCGTTAAACTCAACTAAGCCCTAGTTGTTGACGCCTTTTGTGTGTGTGTGTGTGTGTGTGTGTGTGTTCTCTTTGTACTTTGGCTTTTATTTGTTAAACTCAATTTAGTCCAAAAGTTTCGCTACAAAGTCCAAAACCAGAAATTAAGACAAAAGCAGCTTCAGTAGCATAAAAGTCAGCCTTAGCTCGTGTTACCCAGCGAAAGCCTTAAACTTTCCTTTTGTTGATTTAAAAGAAAGAAGAAGAAGAAGAAAAACAGAAGTCGAACAGAAGTCGGGGAAATAGGTAAAGCTTCTAAGAAATATGTGCTTGAATACCAAAAGTCACAGGCACATAAAAAAGGTATTTTATTGTCTTAAGGTTATCGAATTACCTGCGCATAAAATCAATATAAATTGGGATAGAATACGATCCAGCTTGCAGACGATAATGTAACACATTCTCATCGAGCGTGTCACCTGATGGTTCGCAAAATATAATCAATATAAATTATATACTTTTCAATGAATATTTCATCTCGGTCAAAAGATTAGAAGATAATTGCCTTAGGCCCTTAATGGGCAAATGTCTTAACTTTGTTAAACTATTCTTAGAACTGTGCTGAACTATAGAAAGTTTGAGATTCGTTGGAATCAACAAGAGTTGTTCGCCTTGACCTACAGCACGGGATGCAGCAAAAGCCAATTAGGCTAATTTAATTGAATTTGCATATTTGATAGCCACTTGGCTAACTAATTAGTGGCGCCCGGGAACTCCGCACGTTACAACAAATTATAGCTCGACTGTTGGAGCCAACAAAAGTGTAGATACTGTAATTGTAGAAGATGCAAACAGCGCAATGAACGGAAATGGTATTGAAATTCAAAGCCACAAGACCACAAAAATGAGCAAGTCACAGTCGGGACAGTTAATAAAGCCAAGGATAAACACTCGACTTGGCCCGATGACAGCTCGACTTGGTGGCTGCTCCACTTCACTCCAAGGCGGGTTGATTTTTGTAATAAGTTAAAAGAAACAAATATGAGCAAAATGTGAAGCCATTTTCCGCTAACGAAGCCAAAACTGACGGGCTGTCCTCGCTGGTGATGGGAATGATGATGATGATGATGATGATGATGGGGATGATGATGATGTTCATGTGTCAAAGGAATCAGCAGCAGATCAACGCCTGTTACATTTATGAAAAGTTAATTTAATTTATGCGACTGTCGAGGCAATAAAATAAGTCGTATATACGCGAGATTTAAGCTGATTGAGCCAAAGCAGCTTGGCCATGGCCATGGCCGGAAATCGAGTCGGAAAGGCAAACAGTGCTTAAAAGCCGCACAATTTGCTTAAGTCCGCACCTTGCTCGCTGCCTGGAGCCAAACCAATTAATCTCCCTCATGCTTATCGGGCCACAGAAACCTCCTCCAACCACAACCTAGTCCTAGACCTGGACTAGCCATAAAGCAGCCGGCCAACCCCCATCAAAAACGCGGCTTTCCGACGCGCCTTTTTCCGGTTTTCGAATTTGAGGTCGCATTTGCGTTTAAAGTTGACGCCTTAAAGTTGAACATAAAACGAGGAACCGAGACAGCGGAAATAACAATAACTTTTTAGTCCCCTATCAAAGGGCGCCCGAAAGTAGGCAACATTTTCTGCAGTTGCCTTTGATAATAATAAATGGACACTTTCTAGTTAAACGCACAGAAATTTACATTTATTGCAACAATCGATTAAAATCTTCAAACATACATACATATATATTTACACATCTAAATATTTAATTCCTTAAAATATATACAAGAGGACAAAGAAATTTACCATTTAATTTACTAAGTGCATGGTCATGCGTTCTTTTCGTGTCTGTGGAGCACTTTAAGTCTTAGCCATAAATCTTATTGTAAATACTTTTGTTTAATTTTGTTAGCTTAAAGCCGTGCAACGGCTGCAATACTTTAGTATGAGACAGACACAGTTGCCGCTTACGACTACGACTAGACATGAAAAACACATTAAATGCCTAGGAACTAAAAGTCATCAACTTTATATTAACGCCAAGATATTCCGTAAATCATTTTCTGCACTCAATTCACCAAGCAATTTGGCCAAGCTCCTTAAAGCCAGCTCCTCGGGGAGCTCTCAAATTGAAAAGGTCAAGTGAATTGTTGAGTAACAACTACAATTTGTTTGCATTTCGTTGCGTTCACGAATTAACTTCAAACAAAAACAAATTTGGTCAAGTGTGTTTTCAAAAAAACGAAATCATTGCATCTTGAAATTTCTTAGACAGAGTTTCTGCTAGCATGGAGAATAACAATTGTTTGTATTGACAGAGAAAATTACTTTGGTTTAGTTCGATGTGTTGCTTAAAATTTTCAACGTGTTATGACAGAATGTGTGTTCAGAACATATTCAATTATGTAAAACTTAGTTGACACTCCTGCTACTAGATACTTCCTGTAATCTCCGTTGGGACGTCAGCGACTCGAGCTGTTCAGTTTAATGGAGACTCCTGCAGCCTCTGCGCCAGCTGTGACGCCTTGAGCGGACCGAAATCGCTGAGTGGTGTAAATTCATAGCCCGGCGCTTCATTATGGGCAACGGCTGTGCTGGGCACTCCGTTTAGGCCGCCGTTGGGCAGCGTGGTAATCGTTGTCTCCTGCAGCCGGCAGCTGTGTGAAGAGGACTTAGGGCTATATCCAATATGGCCTGGCCTTGTGCCTGGACTCACCTGCGCACCGTGCTCTGGTAGCAGGAGTGCCGGGACTGAAAGCGCTTCGAGGCTGTGCTGGTCAGCGAGGTGTTCCGGTGCATGCAGAAGGTGTCGTTGTGCTGGTTGCGCTTCTTGCGACGTCCGCTGATGCCCCGACAGAAAAGGTATCTGGATGGAGCGAGGACATTCATGTTCATTACGATGTTTATGAGTTGGCCAAATACAAAAGGATGCAATAAAAGTCAAGCAGGAAAATATAATTAATTTAATTACGCTTTCAAAGTCTGTGCAAGAGCCTGAAAAGTTTGTCGATTCTTGTTTGTATGAGTCGCACCTTCGCAATTAAATTGTTAGTTAAGGGATTGGGTACATCTACGTAATTGTAGTCCCTGGAGTCCGTCTGATCACTAGAGAGCCGGGTCTTAATACCGGTATTTATCGTACACTAACCGAGCTGAGCTTCCGCTACAATATCCCTTCATCTCCATAATTTCGATAAATATCGATTGTGAAATACGTTTTTGTTTGGAATAGATTATAAGAACTGTACAGTCCGTCTGTATGTCCGTATAATCGCTAGATAGCTAAGTCTTCTAGTGTGAAATCTGTATTTATCTTACGCTAACCGAGCTGAGCTTCTTCTACAATATCCCTTCATTTCCATAATGTCGATAAATATCGATTGTGAAATAAGTTTTTGTTTGGAATAGATTATAAGAACTACAGTTACAAAATGTGTCTTGGATATTCAGATACAGGGTATCTACCCAACTAGAGCACTCTGATTTTAAATGATATTTTAATAAAGAACTTGCCCAAATCGACAATTTGCGTAATTTGAATAAAAACAATTGTATTCATCTTGTGTAATTACGCAAATAGATTTCTATTCAATTTAGTTGTACGATTTCTCTGTCTGCGTTTTACTTTTCAGCGTCTATACAATTTAATTGAATGATATTATGTATTTTTGTGCGTCACAAATTGATTTGAATTTCCCTCAGCGGAGCTGCCTCTGTGATTTTTATTTGTCGCCCCTGCTTCTGAAAATTTCGATTCGTTTCTGCCCAGCGTCGGACAAACAAGCAGAAAGTTCCATCAGAATTGCAATCAAAAATGAGCTTAACTTGCCCAGGGCACAATCCCAACAGGTATGACATGATATGAAGGTGTCAGAGGGAGATGCATTAAGTCAAAGAAAAGTTTAAAGTGTCTATTTGTTGTGTTTTTGTTAGTTGTAAGTTTGAGATACAAATTGCAGTTAGCTTACGCGTACAGTAACAGTTATTACATTGTTATCGGTAATCGGTATCAGTATCGGTTATCGATTATCGTTATCATGCTGTTATTCTGCTGCGGTGATGTGAACGAACAAATACCTATTGAAATGCTTGCGAAACGCCCCGCTCACAAAGTAAAGGGCCACCGGATTGGCACAGCTGTTGGCAAAGGACATGCAAAAGCCGACGATGCGCAGCACATGCCAGAACATGTTGTAATCCTGCTGTGCTGTGGGCCTGTAAACGGAATGGAAAGTATGTATATATGAGTGCGTATGCAGTATGTAAACCTAATGGAGCCATAAGCCAGCGACAAGTTGGAAATTGATTGACCAGGGCAAATGGTCACAGCGAATGGCGCCCGCATTACTCATACGCCATGTGAGCGCAGCCACTGACTGAGTGGTATTCAATAGATAGATGGTCCAGAGCATTAACTCCCTTGGCATCCTCTTTGCAGATGCTCGCTCATCCTTGCCCCTGCTGCTCCTGCTGCTCCTGCTTGTCGCTGTTGTGCTGGATAAAAGTCGCCACTTACCAGTAGTAGAACCATAGAAAGAAGACGTGATAAGGCAGAAAGCAAATACCAAAGATGACAACGAATGCCAGCACCGTGACGGCGACTTTGCGTCGGGCTCGAACCTGCCACATAAATCCAATATAAGAATCTGTTAGATACAATTGTCAATGCGAACATAAAACCGATGCTGCTGAATATGAAATGTCGTTTATCTATTCGGCAGGTGGGCGAAAAACCTTGCTGCATACCTAATGTTGTCGAGGCAGACATTGACAAAATTCAATTTGGAGCTCTGGGTAAATGTTATTCAATTTATGGCAAACTCAAGCGATTGGAAATTATTGAAACAATTCTTAAAAAAATAACTTACTGAAAAGTTATTGTCATTTGTCTGCACAATTCATCAAATGTCACCAGTTAGATTGGCATTTATTTTCATTCAATAGACATTAAAGAGGAGGAAATAGCCCAGATATTTTTTATACACATAGTTTAAAGGGCATTCACTTCTTTAAAAGTTGAAAAGTCTCTTTGGTTATTGAATTGCGGACCTTTAGACTCTAATCCTAAGCTAACCTGTAACTTTTGTGGATGTGACATCAATATCTTAGAATGATCTGCCTAAGTATTTTATCGATAGTAATTAGGGTATTAAATTATGGGTCCATCCAGCTTTAAGCAGTGGAAGATATATGTATATATCTTCCTCTTTAATAGATATAGATAAAGATATAGATATAGATATAGATATAGATATAGATATAGATATAGATATAGATATAGATATAGATATATATATAGATATAGATATAGATATAGATATAGATATAGATATAGATATAGATATAGATATAGATATAGATATAGATATAGATATAGATATAGATATAGATATAGATATAGATATAGATATAGATATAGATATAGATATAGATATAGATATAGATATAGATATAGATATAGATATAGATATAGATATAGATATAGATATAGATATAGATATAGATATAGATATAGATATAGATATAGATATAGGCGGATCAAGCAAGAAACTATACCTAAATAAAGCACAATCCGCGCCCGTTTCTTATTTAAACAGACAGACAGAAAGCGAGAGAGAGAAAGAGAATGTGTTTTTTTTTTCAAAATAGTATCAAGGTTTAATATATTGGAAATAGAATTGTCTTCATTTGTCAATCATCAAAAACTCAATAGATTAATGTCAAGCATTTAAAACCGCAGTCGTCGCAATGTAATATCGCCATCAATCTTCAGCAGAAGCCATCAATCATGATGATTGAGCAAATGCTACTCACCTGTCGGACAGCGCCCTGCATCTCGCCCGGCACACTCGCCGAGTACATCAGGTGTAGCGCAATCATGACATAGAAGGCGGCGATTATGACCAGGGGTATGGCATAGTAGACCAGAAAGTGCAGCATTACCATCAGCTTGGCATAGTTGTCGCCCCACGATTCCGGGTACGGATAACAGATGACAATCGATTTCTCCTGATTGATGCCAACTGGCTGAAAAATAGAGAGAGATCAAATTGCAAGTCCAACCGAATCTGTTATATGAGACAACCACCTTTAAGTTGCTGCCAATCAGCGCTGGCAGGCCGCAGATGATGGCCAGGAGCCAAATGGACACGGCTATGGCCAGGGTCATGCGAGTGGCGCGACGTCCACCACCTGCGGAATGTTGGTTTTCAGTAAGGGATTCCCGGATGAGATGGATGATGTGTTTTCTCTTACCGTGTGCATGGAATTTGCGCAGCGGGTCAACAATGGCAAAGTAGCGATCACTGGAAAGCGCCGTCAGTGTGAAGACCGATACGCCAATGGAGACATCCTTCATGAACTCCGAAATGCTGCACAAAAAACTGCCCCAGGGCCAATACTCGACGGCATAGACCGTAGAGACCAGCGGCACGGTAGTCAATATGACCAGCAAATCAGCCAGCGCCAAGGAAAGGATGTAGCTGAAATGATGAAGTGTGTGGAAGGAGCTCATGGAATGAGAAATCAGAGGATAATTCACTTTAGCTAAGCAAACACTTGACAAACTTTGAAAGCCCGCACGTAACAATTTTATGAATATTTTCTTGAGATAAACAGAATGATCCTTCAACTGGTCTGGCTTTTCCGGGCGAGGGTCGCCCGCACGTGTTACGCTTTTTATACCCTGAACCCATTGAAAATGGGTAAACAGGGTATATTGTATTTGTGCAAATGTATGTAACAGGCAGAAGGAAGCATCTCCGACCCCATATTCTTGATCAGCATCAACAGCCGAGTCGATCTAGCCATGTTCGTCTGTCTGTCCGTCCGTGTTTATGAACGCAAGGATCTCAGAACCCATAAGAGCGATATTCGATAACTTGCCCCGTTTCCAAGTATTCGATAAAAATCGATATCGAAATCCTGTTTTTTTTGGCAATTTTGGTAAATAATATGAGCTAGAGTCAGCAAACTTGACATGTAGCTTCTAGAATAGTATATAAGTATATCAAGTATCTTTCATTTTATACCTTTCGCCTGTCGGAAGAAGAGGGTGCAGGGTATCCCCTAGTCGGGAGCTCCCGACTAGAGCCTCTTACTTGCTTTGATTTATGTTGCCCGAGTTTTGGCAATTTGCGCGTCTTTGTCATTGCCCATGTTAAACAATTTTGTCGGCTCGCGCTGATAAAATTGATTTATATGACACTTTATTAAACAAACAACAAAAAAGAAAATGGCAAAAGTGCTTTTGACATTTGCATGTGGCACAGAAATCTTTTTCGCAGCGTTTTCAACTTACCCCCAACTGGACTTCCATTACTGGAAATCCTATAACTCTGACAATTCTTATGCTCTGAACCCTGAATAGGGCACATTTGTTGTGTAACAGGCGGAAGAAGGCATCTCCGAACACCATAAATTATATATATATAAATTATATATATTCTTGCTCAGCATTGAAAGCAGATTCGATCTAGACATGTTTGGCTGTCTTTCCGTTCGTGCATAAAGTGTGGCTTTTGTTTGACTTTAAGAGCTTGAGACTTTCCGATATATAGCCCCATTTCAAGATTAACGCTTAGAAATCGATTTGAGGTCCTGTTTTTTAAGAGCTACCCAACATAATTTGGTATTCTTCCGCACAGAAAAAACAGATAAAAACCTGTTTTTTGAAATATAGACATGGGCTTTAAAGAGATTGGAATGCCATATTGAAACTTGATCTCGAAAAAAACTTTCTTTGCTACTAAACTTTCACTCAAAAAGTTGTTGAAAAGACGGCGTGAATTTTGGAATTTTTTAAATTATTATAAAGTTCTTTTAAAATGTGTAACCAAAAAAGTTGCATGCATCCGTTTTTCGCCATCTAATACCTTTGCTGATAGAATTTGCTGAATCTCGGCTTAGCGTTCACAAAATAGGAAAATTGAAGCTTTCTAACTCCTTTGTCTTGGGCTGATCAGCAATCAGTCAGTCATCTAGGACAAACAGTTTTCTATATGGAGATTAACGGCCCAAGCCGTACGAAACCTAGTCCTACATAGTCCTAGGATCTAGTCAAGATCCTATCTTTCGGTTTGGACAATAGTTGCCCTTTATTAGGAAAATTATTTAATAAAATGAATAACATAAGAGAAAATAATTTCTAAAATTCTTGCAAAGATATCGAAATATAAGCTAAATAATACTTTTTTGTCTTGCATCCGATAGACTTAAACTCATTGAGAAATATTAATTTTCAGATTAAATGTTAAGTTTTCACCTAAAGTGGAATAATAAGTATTATTTTCAAACCTCACATTTAAATCGATACATATACAGATAATCTGGGAAAATCTACCCATAGATCGAAAAAAGATTAAGAATTGACTGTTTTTATGCAAAGTACATCATATCCAGACAATATCCTTAAATTATAACAAGATCTTTGACGAGTGCATTCTAAATAGAAAATAAATTCAACTAAATTGAATATGTTTAATATATGTTATTTAATTGAGTTAAATTTAAAATGCCAGCTAGCAAATAATATGTTTCTATCATTCCGAGGCCTTGTTTCCCTGCCAGATATTTGATTTGATTGGATTAAAGTGTAATTGATTTTGCAATTATATATTTCTGTTGAATTTGCTTTGGCGACATGTGTAAGGACATCAGCGCCAGCTGGAAATTGCATCTGTAATTCAGATATAGCTATTGCACTTTTATGCCACGCAACCTGCAATAAATCAGCTGCTGCATGTGGCACTTTGTTTGTGCAACTACAAATTACATTACTTGGCCACGCCTGATAAGCATCTGGCAACTGGCGTCTGGTCTGGAGAGGCACGGCTTTGGCTGAGATTCGGTGTCCTGGCCATGAAATGCAATTTCAGCTTAATGCGATCAGCTGACATTTCCGTTTTGCTCTTTGCCAAAATATAAGTACACAACTTTTTATGTGGCAGACGTGCGCCCAGCACAAGTCAGGTCAGCAGCTCGCTTGGGGCACGTGTTGGCTTTTATTATACCCTGAACCCATTGAAAATGGGTAAAAAGGGTATATTGTATTTGTGCAAATGTATGTAACAGGCAGAAGGAAGCATCTCCGACCCCATAAACTATATATATTCTTGATCAGCATCAATAGCCGAGTCGATCTAGCCATGTCCGTCTGTCTGTCTGTCCGTCCGCCTGTTTGTCTGTCCGTATGTATGAACTCAAGGATCTCAGAACCTATAAGAGCTAGAGACTTCAAATTTTAGCTGTAGGTCCACCTAGTCCCCGCGCAGATCGAGTTTGTTTCCGATATTCGATAACTTGCCCCGTTTCCAAGTAATCGATAAAAATCGATATCGAAATCCTGTTTTTTGAGCAATTTCGGCAAATAATATGAGCTAGAGCCACCAAACTTGACGTGTAGCTTCTAGACTAGTGTATATATATATCAAGTATCTTTCATTTTGTACCTATTGGCTGTCGGCAGAAGAGGGTTCAGGGTATCCCCTAGTCGGGAGCTCCCGACTAGAGCCTCTTACTTGTTTTTTTTTTTGGTAAGTCTTTCGTCACACGGCACGTCCCGCACTGTGAATATCTACTTAACGCATCAACTCGATTAATTAAATGGTAATTCACATTGACATTTACTTCATCGCCAGGCTTTCATTCGATTGCGAGCCTTAAGCTCTTAAATTGAAAACCAGATTATTGAAAGAGCATAAACAGCTATTTATTTGTATACCCTGTATCCATTGAAAATGGGTATGAAGGGTATTATGTTTCAGTGCAAATTTATTTCTGTGGCAGCTGCTGTTTTAAAAGGCATCTTTAACTCCATAGAGTATATATATATTCTTGATCAGGATGACGAGCTGAGTCGAGTTACTCGTGTATATATAGATATATCGATTTTGATTCGCGATTTTTAAGCACAACTCGAGGGTAATTTGAGCTTAATACTCAAAACTTGGCGTTTAAATTGTCGTATAGAATACAAAGATTAAACATATTTCACTTTTTTGGATAAGTTCCCCAATTCCGCCAGCTTGTCGCTGACTTTAGAGTATCTGCTAGGCGGCTACTCCCGACGAAAGCACTCTTAAAGCACACTCCTGCAAAGTTGTGCTCGGAAGGACAGTTAATTGTTCTGCATGCATGTTTATTTTTAGTTTAATACTTTAATTGGCCCCTTTCAAGCTGTTGATAAGATGTTGTTAACGGTCTCAGTGCAGGCATAAGTTAGCTTGACATATGAGACGGAGATTTGACGGAGTATTGTGAAATAAATCATAAAGTTAAAGTCAGGCTGCATCCCAAGGAGTTTACCTGTTCGATGCAATTGATATCAGATAGCTATAAAGATTATAGATCAAATTATCGATAATTCGCTACTTTTCCACAAAACCGATAATAATTAATTTTCAGATAAGATTTGTTATCGTATCTCAGAGGTTGTTAGAACTAGGAGACACCAAATTTGGTGCGTAATTTCTACACAGATTCAGATTATATCGCTATTTTTAAGTAACCATCTCCCGTTGCCACGCATATGAACAAGAACCTATTTTTAGATGTTAAGCTTGATGCTCTGGGATACACACACTTTTGGACGTCATCTTTATGCACGGAAATTTCATAAGAATCGGACCGTAAGCACCGAAGTTATTTAAGAATGCGATTTCCCACTGTGTGCGGTCTAAGGACTTTTTCTTCCTTAGGCCCCACACAGTCGCAGCATGTGCCCGTGCGTGTGTGTATTTGTTTATGTGTGTGTGTGTGCGTGTGTGCTTGTTTGTTTTTTGTTCATAATTGTGATACTGAGATGAATGCAGGAGATGTCTGATAAAGCATCTAGACGCATAAGTACCTCTGCGACAGGTGCTCTCAGCTGTAGCTGACCTGTTGTCTTGTTCAGAAAAAAAAAATATGAGACACGTGTTCATCGTTTATAATAATGAAGACGTTATTTGCGGAAATTTTGTATTAAATAGATAATAAATATTGCATGCTGGCAACTTGTTTGACATTCACTTTATTGCCGCGCCTTTTACTGCCACGAAAGCAATAAACTCGATACGCAACAAGCAGCTTCCTAACTTAACAATATTGTGCTCGTTTTAAAGCACAAGTTTGGCCCGTTTAAGAAGGCAACATCTTTCAAAAAAAGTCGCCTAAATTAGTATTCCGGGCCACAGTTGTTGGCAGACGTTCTCCGGGCCACGGCTAAGGGACATTTCATGCAGCAGCCATTGACAGTAACAATAACTTGATTTATGACAGTCAATTTATGCCACACACACACACACACACACACACACACACATGCAAAGATATTACAGCTAGCAAGCATGGCTAATTAGTCAGCCAAATAAGCCAAAATCTATTTCGGGCCCTCGTCGCGCAGTTATTATGCAAATTTTGTGGCTGTTACTAATTTAAAGCCATGAGGAAAAGACATCGTCGACGTTGAGAGTGTATTTGCCACGCCCACACGCCCTTTTGTCGGTTAATTAGATGTTCGCTAGCCCCGTGACATTTAACTTTGGCCCCTTGCATGCATAATTTGGCACACAATTCACGATTCAATTCAATTCAATTAAAGTTTGCCATTAATCAAATTGCAGTACGACATTTTTACATTGCCCGACTGGACAAATACCCTACATTCCAGTCCAATAACAGCTCAAAATATGATACCCGCCAAATTTATTATGAGAAGCGTACGCCAAATATGTTCGCACCGATATTCAGAGAAGTTCATTCGTGGTCTATCTGAGTCCAGCTGTATAACTGTGGGAGAGGTCGATTTTTGGGCTTTCCCTCTCGTGGCTCAAAATTGTTAACAATTGAGAACTCCGAAGACCCTTGCAGTCATATGTGAGGTCTTTCTGTATAAGAAAATTATCTTAAACAGATTGTTTCTATAGGAGCTAGATATAACAAGTAAGAGGTTCTATAAAATGAAAGATACTTGATATATATATATACTAGTCTAGAAGCAACATGTCAAGTTTGGTCACTCTAGCTCATATTATTTCCCAAAATTGCTCAAAATACAGGATTTCGATATCGATTACTTGGGAACGGGGCAAGTTATCGAATATCTGCGTGGGCACCAGGAGGACCTACAGCCAAAATTTCAAGTCTCTAGCTCTTATAGGTTCTGAGATCCTTGAGTTCATACATACGGACAGACGGGCAGATCGACTCGGCTATTGATGCTGATCAAGAATATATATATTTTTTATGGGGTCGGAGATACTTCCTTCTGCCTGTTACATACATTTGCACAAATACATTATACCCTGTTTACCCATTTTCAATGGGTTCAGGGTATAATAATAAATTAAGATCTTGTGTGAAAAACTTTTTTTGGGTTATAAAAATATCTGAATCAAACTCGGCATTTAAAAAATTCACCATCCTACTCATATGCATGAAAAATCTTGTCAACATGGAATTACTATATTTTATAGCCCCATAGGAAGAATGTGTGGAAAAATGAGTTTTTGTATGGCAAAATATTCACACATATACATATCTGGCAAAACCTTAAAGAAAATGTCTACAAGGGTTTTAAATCTTATCCTTACGTTCTAGTTTTGATATAAAATAAATATATATAGTAAAATACTTAAATAAAATAAAAAGTGAGACCTGGCTAAGGGGGGAATCATTTATAAATATACTTTGCATGGCATCTGAGAGTTTTGCTTGTAATTCGAAATATATATATATATTAAATATTTAGTCAGGCCAAGAGAGAAACTTGTAGGGACTCACGTGTTTGGCACATTTCGCATCTGTCGCACGCTCAGGAAGACCACAATCAGAGTCCCATTGCCGAGCACGCCCACCACGAAGATAATGGCGAACAATATGGGCACTATGTAGGTTTCCAGTCGCCGGCCATAGGGTACATAGGGTATCTCGGTGACGGGCACAATGCTGCCGTTTTCATCAAAGAGCGCCGTCTCCGCCGTTGTTGTCATCGCCAGCTCCCAAAGGGCGCGGGTTGCATTCAGAGGCGACAGAGGCGACTCCTCTCCGGAGCCCAGCTCCATGTCCATGGCGATGGTGCTCATGTCGCTGAGTATACTGGTCATCATGGCCAGAGATTTGCTTCTTTTTTTTTTTAATCAATTCAATTATGCTATCACAATGCACGAAAACTGTTTAAGCGTAAACTATTAATTTCATTTCCGCACGTTTTGCTTCCTGCTGCATTTTTTTTGTTTTCGTTTTGTTTTTAACCCAATGCGAGTTTTTTACGCCAATTCATTCAATTATTTTTTGCAAACTCTTTGATAAATACCATAAATATTGTTGTTGTTGTTATCGCTGCGGTTGGCTGTAAACAGAATAAATGCAAAACCCAAATAATTGTACTATATAATATATTTCATTTTAATTTTCCTTTAGTTTGAGCATTTTTAATTGCATTTATCAATATAAAAGCTTTGTTTTAGGTAGATGAAAATGCGAAAATCTAGAAAATTTATAAGTTCATGGCATTTTGTAAAATTCATCAAAGGAAATTTACAAAATATAAATGCAAAATTCTTAGCCACATGTCTGAAACCTTTTGTTTTTCCTTAAGGATTATTGCCTTAAGAAACTTCAAAGTTTATACTAATTACAAAAATTGCAGATTTAATGATAGTTCAGCATGTCAAATACCACAAATATTTCAGCTGAATTATTTAAATTAATAAATATGCATAATAAAGACGAGATTTTATGTAAAAACACAGACGAAACTATTTTAGATCCTTTTGGATAAAAACCTTTATTTATCAATAATTATACTATACAAAATACAATCTGCTGTCATTGTAAGCTCGAAAGACGGATATATTTGCTTCTATCGGATTATCTATCAAATATATTATTATATGTTCATTTGGATCCATGTCTATGCTAAGGGTCTAAGGAAAGAAGTCTGCGCTTAGGGTATCTTCTAGTCGGGCACGCTCGACTCTTGCACATTTACTTGTTTTGCTTTTAGCTTTGAGAATGCTGTGAACAGGAATTGAAATGTCGGCTGCACCACTCGCACTTGTTTATTTTCACATTTTGCCATAACTTTTGAAATAAACTCTGGCATTATGCAAATTTTGTGTGTGCGGCATTAAAGCATTGACCAGAAATAGAGAAACCAACAGAAAGCAACCGCAAGCCCAAAGGGAAATGTGTGCTTTTACAGGCATTCATAATATTTAAACACAACAAAGCACGAGAACTCACAGAGTATATTTGCAATTGTAACCTGAACGGAAAGCGAGTGGCGAATGGCGAATGGCGAACTATTCGTTCTTTTATGACAAAGAAATGGCAGCGAGCTGTCAGGCCAAAAGCCACGCACAGATTTCAATAACCAAGAGCTGCTCTCCACCCGAGATCCCCAATCCACTTCCAAGTTCGTCGTGGCGTCAGTAACGTTTTATGAGGCACTGTGTGTGCACTGTGCGGTTAATGGCTGGAAATGTAATGACAGTATCCTCGCCTGTGGACTCCTTGAAGTGTCTCGCCCGAGCAGCAGCTTGTGATAAGGATATAAACTTGGATGCGCTATAATTCCGTAACTTAAAGCTCAGCCCCGGGGAGAGTATCTCGCAATTAGCCGGCAAAAACATGCACAACTTATTAGAAGTTCTCAGCGTTTGCTTTGAATAGAAAGAAATTCTTTTATGCACACATTGCAAATCATAAGTTTTTCAAAGGTGCAACAAACACCTGTCTCTTTAGAGTAGAATGCTTAGAAAGAAGTTTTCAGGCGTGCAATTAGTACCCCCACAAAATACTCTAATTGAAAAGACAAAAATGGAATAGTTGAGGCAACATATTCGCCCAATGTCAAGGCATGGCTGGAGGACTACTCCTCGGCGCCTCTTCTATCCACAGGGTACGCAAGACCTAGCCATTATCCCCTATTCCTTGCATCTAAAACGTGCCAATAAAACCTACTAAAGGAACCGTTTTCCGTCTCTAGGGGCCGGTAAATTCTCAAGACACCTACTGCAGGGAAATACGCACGTCGCCAGCTGTCAACTTTATGCAGCGAAATCTCAAAGTTTAAGTAAGTGTCCAAGTGTGCGTACATACTAGAGATTGCACGACTAGGAGATACCCTAAACCCAGCGCCAAGCTTCCCTCTATATATATGTAAAGGCAGGAGTTAACACTATCCTGTAAATTAACATAATTAACAATCTGTTGTCTATACTATCCTGTTAATTAACATCATTACTAATCTGTTGTCTATACTATCCTGTTATATAACATAATGGACAATCTGTTGTCTACAGAGTCGGTTTTTGTTTGCAGCAGTGTGAAATTGACTCACGAAGCCTATTATTGAGGAACACTTTCTACTTTGTGCTATTATCAATTAAATAAGCAATACAATTTTAAAAAATCGTACATATACATACACACTTCTTTCTCACATTATGGAATAAAATTTCTTGAATAACTACGGAGCAACCTTTATGAAACATTTAATTTGTGGGTAATATGGAAGGTTTACATAAATCTGAAAATTCTGGTCTCTGTAGCTCTTATAATTCCCAAGATATACTTAAAAAATATTCTTTCAAAATCGATCTTTAGCGATAAATGTAATACCCATAAATTTTCAAATTACCGATAGCTTATATCCTTAGCTTTAAATTTGTTCCATAAAAAATTTAGAGCCTCCCTCTGAATGAAGCAACCCGAAGGAAAACATGAGGAAGTGCTAAGCTTTAGTTTAAATGATTATAAAATAAGTGAGCTGCTTCGTAATACAATTAACGATTTTTTAAAAATATTTATTAGAATTTTAAAGTGTTTAGCTCTGGCCATAAAGACACAGGCACAGGACGATAGAAATTGACCAGGCTCAAGTTCTTATCAGGAATATTTTTACTTCTAAATTCGAACTACTTGATATATAACACATTTATGATTTGCCCTGCACTTCGATTAAACTCGCACAGTTTTTTAAAATCTATATCCAAATCTAGACAGAAATTCTAGTGGTAGTAATGCCGACTTTTTCCAAACCATCCCAAAACCACAATTTCTTCCTTGCTTTTCCAACGTATATGTGTGCAAAACCTTAAGTATGCACTTCCATAACAATTTACGCAACACATTTCAATTGTCGCAATTTGCCCATGCTCAGATTTCAGTCAGTGAGGGCTGTCTTCATTACGAGGGCGCTAAACCTTAATGGGAGATCCTGGAACGAGCAGGGAATGCGGTTATTCCCCTGACTTGTTGCTTCCGACTGCTGTCTCGGCTGTGCCTCAACGTGCCAGTTAATGGCGCACAGCTAATTAAGTTGAGTTGCAGCTCAATTGGCAGCGTTCCGTTCAATGTTTTATAGGAAATATCTTCAGCTGGCTAAAGTGTTGCCCGAGGTCTGCCGGCGTCCAAAATGTAGCCAAAGTTTGGCAGACAGGCAACAGCTTCACGTTTCCGAGTACAACTTCATGATTGTCTTTGGCAACGCAATTTGGGAGCAACTGCAGCGCCAAGTTGTGCACTCAATAATTAAAATTGATTTTTAATGAATTTATGACAGTTGCAACCAATTAAGAAACGATATAGAGCTATTATTATTTAATGCCCAGTATCGATTTCAGATCGAAACCATTTAAGTGAATATAAATCAAGTCTAAAGTGCCCAAGACCCATGCTCTGGAACAAGAAGTGTCATGTACGAAACTCTTAGAGTATTCTAAGTATATATTTAGAAAACTGTTTGTCCAGACTGACTGACTGACAGTCAGATTGATTAGTCAAAGTGCATGCTTAAACAGTTTTTTAAGCAAATTCACCCTCAGCAGTGGAAAATTAGTGGAAGTGATTGTACGAAACCTTGCTGTTTGCCATCCAATTGAGCCGAAGCTGACTTTTCAAAGATCTTACTATATATTTAGAAAACTGTTTGTCCTGACTGACTGACTGACAGTCAGATTGATTAGGGATCATTGATTAGTCAAAGTGCATGCTTAAACAGTTTTTTAAGCAAATTCACCCTCAGCAGTGGAAAATTAGTGGAAGTGATTGTACGAAACCTTGCTGTTTGCCAACCAATTGAGCTGAAGCTGACTTTTCAAAGATCTATCTGCAATTTTAAACTTGTGTCAACACCCTCTCCTTGCAAAATAAGGATTAAAGGTTATAAAATTAAGTAAATACACGTTTCACCTATTAAAATCCCACGCAATACCGGATAAAGTTCTTCTTTTTTTTTAATTTCGGATTTCACTTAATTAATGCCATTCAAATATTAATTTAAATTAATTTTACGGCAAACCAAGCCAGATTATATAATAATTATATTATAATAATTATTTAATTCAAAGGTATTTGGAGACTTAGCATAATAAAACTAAGTATACACGAATAATAATCAAATAATATTCCTTTTTAACTACTGATGAACAAAACATCAATATATTTAACAATCATTAAGACAATCAAATTGTCATAAAATGAAAACTTTATCCAAATAAAAAAATGTTCTCGTTTCTATAATTCTACCTCTAGGCGTGAATTAAATTTGTATATCAATTAGAAAAAAACTACAAGATTTTACGCTTTATAGAGGTTCTATTGAAATTTGAAGAAAAAAAGAGTATTTCAATATTTTTATATATTAATCATAAGTACTTAAGATGAGGCTCAATAATTAGTCTTTATCGATAATAAGTTATTATTATTATTAATAACATAATAATATTTGTAGGAAATACGTGAAAAGACAGAAATATATATAAATATTTGTTACAAACGTGAAAAGACAGAAATAAATAAAATATACTATAAATAATATTTTTTACAATTTAAGTATTCTTTAATGCTGAGTACATAAAGTACATTTTGCTTTCTAGAGCTTCGCTCAACTTTTACCTTATTTGAAAGAGGAGCGAGTATTCAATTCAGTTTCTGCCGAAGCTTTAAAGCGACAACTCTTGAGAAAATGTGCATATTTCAATTGAAATTCGTATAATTAAAACATATAAAATCAAGGTAAGCTGAGTTGATTACCCTGACTAAGGTCTCAAATACTCAAACATTTACGAAACTTTACATAATCCTAGTTAGAGGCGTAGCAGTCGAATTTTTGGGGGAACCTTTTGAAATGGCAGCTAAATTAAATTTCAAAATGCGACAACTAATTGAAATGTAAAGTCCTTTGCATAATTATGTAAATGTAAATATACTCGAAAAAGTGGATAAATGAAGGCGCTTTAATAGTGGCCGCCTTTGATTTTGGCCCAACACAAAGCCGGCTAATTATGTACTTTGTATGTGGCACTTGAAGCCATTTTGCATTGTTCCGTTTCAATCATTTGC